CAGGAAAAATCCTAATTACTGAATTCCTAAATTCCTATCTAATGCGAAAAAGCAAAAAGCACGAATTCCAGAAGGAAAGTCCGAAATTCCGAGAGTCGTTGGGGGCTCGACAAAATTCGAAAAAGATTCAAGAGGAATTTCAAAAAAGAACGAAGCAATTTCCCGCGCAATGTCCGCGCCCAAAAAGATCGAAACCGAACCGAAAGAAACGACGTCGACATTTATTAATCGCGCACGCGCGTGGCGTCGCGCCAAACAACCATCCGACCAATCAATCCACCAGCGTCCGAAGACACACCCGACCCCGTGCTTGGCCATTCGAAAAAGAAACGAAGAAATAGGACGAAAAAGTGAGGACACTAATTCAATTCTCCACAGATCCCGATCTCCCGTAATTGGCCTAATCTTCCCAGCTTAGGACCCCTCATTGCAACCGCGCAGAAAATCGCGCGTTACAGAAAGTGGTTCGTCACATATATGACGCCCAGGGGGTTCCAAAATAGCAAGCTCCTACTTGCTTGTTGACATGCGTCGATTTCTCTAATTGATCGACACGCGGAGCAATTCTCTGTATGCCACTTACCGTTCGATTGCGTGTGGACGTCATCGAACGTGGCAACTCTGCTCTTCTACTAGTTCCTCAGATTGGGCTCTTCGACGGTCTAAGGACGAGATCTTTCTCGTGCCGTCGTCGCGACACGCGTCCATTATCGCTGCATCAGTAATTAACCGGAAGGGGGAAGGGAAGGTGATACGCGTATGAAGGAGGGCGGGGCGGCTCCATCGTAAGCTCGGGTATGAAGCGACCGATCGCATTGAGATCGTAAGGAAGTTCTTGAAAACGGACAATGCGATGGAAGCGGGGGAATCTCTGGCCGCTGCGGGGAAGGGAGGCGAGGTGTTCTGGGTAAAGGGATACGAGGGTTCGGAGAACGTCTGTGCGGAACCGATCATGGTTCTCGCACGCGGGGAAGGTCCCCGTAACGATGCAGTAAACCTCTATATGGTTACGGCCTCGCCACGTGGCGCTAAGGAGTAGAACGTGGAGGGAGTAGTCGGGGACAGCACACCGAACGGAAGGGTGGGGGTGGACAGTCAGTTCTAGGCGGGCGGAGTAGAAATGTCGGAAGGTGGCCCTGGGGAAGGGATTACGGGGGTAGACGACACGATGGAAATACTGATTGAAAAAGAGATAGCTAAGGGGATGGTGGTATATGGATCGGGGACGAAGGGATAAGCCCCTCATCGACACGTTGATGAATTGGGGGACGGGCGGAGGCGGAGAGGGACGTGGATCGGGATCGGGATCGGCGCCTTGTCGTCGCGGCTCCTGAGGTTGTGGCAGAAAGGTCTCCATGTTCCGGCTTGGGCGGCTCGGGATCCTTGAAAGGATTGTTCAGTGTGGGATCGATCGCCAGCCGCTTTCCTTCCACGATCTCTTTCTTGCACTGCGCAGCAGCCTCCGAGTTCTCCTCTTGCCGATCCAGTCCTGGCACCCACTCGAGCTCGTCGTGCGTTGGCTCCTGGTTGTCCTCGCTTTCCACTTCTTCGTCGTCTTCGTCCTCCTCCTCACTTTGCTCGCCCTCGCTGTACTCGCTATAGGCCTCTTCATCTTCCTCCGAAGTCTCCTCCTCTGCTTCTTCTTCTTCTTCTTCTTCTTCTTCAGCTTCCGCCGACTCTTCTTCTGCTTCGCGCTCTTCTTCCACGTCCTCGGCCAATCGGGCCGCTGCTTCCCCGACCTCTCTTCTCAATTCTCCTTCTGATTCATCTTCGGCCTCCTTTTCTGCTCTCAGCGCCGCCCACTCGAACGTCGTTGGTTGCCGAAAGAAGCGGAGATTAGTCAGGCTGTGGACGTCTAGGTACTCGCTACGGGAGGGAAAACGGTCGTCCGCCCAGCGCTCCTCGATACAAGCCGACCACTGGAGGCTTAGGGCGAGAGTCCTCGAGAGGGTATGTGGCACGGGTTCTTCGTCGCTCTGAGAGACGATGTCGAGAGGGAGTTCATCGGCCAATCGCGCGATCACGATCGTAAGTTCGCGCATGATCTGTGATCGGTTTCCCCGATCCATGGCTCCAAAGACGAATCCCAGAAGATCTCTTGCCACGTTGGTCCTCCATGCCTGAATGACGAGCAACTCCACAATCTCCGACGCGGGCCTCTAATCGCCTTCCCACGTCCAGCTCAAATCCACTCGTAGTAGGCAAAACGAGAGCTCGACAAATTCTGCACGCCACAGCCTCCAACGGTCCGGATCGACGATGGGTACTGTTAGTGGCTCCAAACGGAAGGAGAGACGAAGGTTGTGAGAGGACTGCCAGAAGATGGGGAAGAGAGAGGGAAGAGAGAACGTCGAGATCGGCGCGCGGCTCATCTGCGCGGCTGGAAGGAACAAGTTCTGGGAGGACGACAGGTGGCTCGCGTAGCGTCGTGCGCAGCGTGTTGACTTCGATGCCGTCGACAGGATAGCACTCGTCATCGTGCCTTGTGAGCCGTCGATCCCAATCAGCGGCCAGATCGCGACCCCATCGGTACAAGGTGCTTTTGATGGCGGCTTGCCGCGCCGGATCGAAGGCGGTGATGTTGCCGCTGAAGACTACCACGGTAGACACATGGCTGATTCCCGGGGCCGCTCGCCGTTAGAACGTCGTTGCCTCGGCCAGCACCACTACCTGGGGATTGCTCGTGAAGCGGAACTCCGCCGCGCCGTATACACCCGCAGTGCAGAAGAACTGCGCAAGGCGCAAGAAGTTGGGGCTGATCCGCGGATGATGCACTTGGCGGATGGCTGAGATCTCTCCCCGTGGCATCAGCAACTGATCACTGAAAGCTCGCTCGATGGCGAAACTCATGGCGATGGCGGGGGTGACAGGGTGGCAGAGAGGGAGCAAGAAAGGGAGGGAGATGGCAAAGATTCTGAGCCGTCGTTTTCGGCTTACTCAGAGAGAGAGATCGGGGGAGGAGGAGACGGAGAAGAGGGGAGGAGGCGAAGATAGGACACGTGGCGTGTGATCGGACGAGCCAATCGACTGCCAGAGACTTCAGGGGCGAGACGCACGGTGTCCACGCCGTTGGGGCCAAGCTCGATCACGCGATATCGCCCAAAGAATTGTGGTGCGAGCTTACCTTGGCGAGCACATTTCCTCACTTGCACCACGTCCCCCAATTTGTATTGGGGCCGCGGACCCGCATTCCCATTTCGGGCCTCGTAGCTCCGGACCTGTCGGCCCTGGGCTAGTTCGGTCATTTTCTGTCGCTTTCAGGCTAGCCTGGCAGCGACCGTTCCATTAACTCTAAGTGTCGTTTGGCCTTGTCCCGAGCCATAGCCCTGGTGGGCCGTCGGTTCAATGTAGACTCATCCGGGAGGCTTGGTATTGAAACGCAAGCGACACTATTGGTCCTGAATTGGAAGGGGCTTAGCCCCGTCGATTCGTGGGGCGTTCCGCGATGGACCGCCAGGATGTGATCAACGATATCGGGCCAGGGTCTCGGGTCCCGTGCCTCGATGTTTCGTCGCAATGCTGTCTTTATCATCCGGTTAGCGTTTTCGACTAGCCCATTGGATTGTAACATGTGGGGTGCGGTGTTCCGTATGGCGACGCCATGTATGACCAGATTCTTTAACACTTCTCTTCTGAATACAGCCCCGTTATCGATCAGGATCTCTTCCGTATCCTGATGCATCCCGAGGAAACGGTTGACATATCGCGCGATTTCTGTGGCTTGCCGCGGGCGACAAGGATACGCTTCGATCCATTTCGAGAAATGGTCGACAAATACCAATAGGACTGAATATTCGCAACTATTAGGGACAGGGGGCACCACTATGTCGGTAGTGTCCATGCTTACTCTCTGAAATGGCGTTCAACAACCGTGGTCACTATCGACCTTGGTGGCTGAATCGGCGCTTTATCAGCGGCGAAGACTTGACAGGTGGCGACGATGTACTTCACATCGTCGCGGATATTGGACCAGTACCACTCATTTTTGTCGATAGCAGACTCTGTGATTCGTACAGCAAAATGAACCACAGTTTCCTCGTGGGTTGTCTTAACCCAGTTATACCGCATGAACGGATGCGGCACCACCATCCAAATCCCACTGCCGTCCGTTTTTCGTTTTTCTAATCTACCCTCTATCCATCGATAATCCCGAGCCCTTTCGTTGGCCCTCCTCCGATCTTCCTTGGTGAAATCCTGGAGGGGGCTACCTACTAGGGAGGCAATTAAGGCAATATCCGTCCATACTTCGGCCCTTCAAAACTTTCGGGTCTTTTCCAATCCTTCTGACGTGGCATCAAAAAAGCGAGCCTCGGTCGGAATTTTGTCGGTCCGACACAAGGGGCACAACCATGGTTTGCTATCGTTCCTGTATTGGATGCACGAGCCATGGGCCCGTGCAACACACTGTCGGCAATCTATCCAATCCGCATATCCTACCCCGTTAGGACGCATGGAGACTGAATAGACGCGGGAGATGGCTTCACAAAGTTAGGCAGGGAGAGGAGAGACGAGGAGGAAGGGGGAGAAAGAGGGGTAGTGGGGCTACCTCCATCACCCATTGCCACCGTTTTGCTTCTTGCCACGTGGGAGAACTGCCACTTGTCCGTACTTCGGCTCGTTAGTCAAGTCCGGCTCTTTCCACGGTGTAATTTCCTCGCCCTTTGGTACCTTGGCAGGTCGATGTAGACGTGTCAGCCCGTCCGCGTTGCCGTGTCGCTCTGTCTTCCGATGGACGATATCGAAGTCGTATTCTTGTAGTCACACCGCCCAACGGCCAATCATGCCCGTGCAGTTGGTGAGCTTCTTCAAAGTTAGCAGAGGCTCGTGATCCGTCACGAGGCGAAACTTCTGTCCATAGAGATACGGATGGAAGTGTTGGATTCCCCAGACCACTACATAGCATTCGCCTTGAGGCGCTGAGTCGTTCCTTCGCTCGTCCGACACGGTTCGTGATGCGTACTCGATGACGTGTTCGCGACCATCGTTCCCCTTCTGCGCTAGAATAGCGGAAATAGCTTCCGGTTGCCAGTCCGTGATGAGAATGAACTGCTTCGAGGGGTCCGGCCGAATCAAAATAGGGGTCGTTGCCAGAGCGTCCTTGAGGGTTGCAAAGGCCTGTTGGCACTCCGCGTCCCAGCTGAGAGGCTGGTCCTTTCGTAACAGGTTCGTTAGTGGTCGTGCAATCGCGGCAAACCCTTGATGAAGCGCCGATAGTACGAGGCCAGCCCCAAGAAGGCTCGAACCTGCGTTAGTGACGTAGGAATCGGAGCTTCTTCACCGCCGCAATTTTTCTCGAGTCTAGCCACAATCCTCCACGTGTCACGACATAGCCCAAGAACGAAATTTCCGAGAGGAAAAATTCGCTCTTCTCAAGCGCAATCTTGAACCCAGCGTCTCTCAATGCACCCAATGTTCATTCAATGTGGTGCGTGTGCCCGTGATAGGTTTCTGAATAGACCAGGATGTCGTCTATGTACACGATCACTGCACGCAGAAGTTAATCATTCCTTGCGTCACCAGTGTCTTGTTGACGAAGTTCTGGAATGTCATGTTCATCGCTCGCTAAAACGTGGCAGGCGCATTGCAAATCCCCACCGGACACCAAACCCACTGCCACGTGCCCTCAAACAACACAAAGGCCGTTTTCGTCCGATCTTCTTCCCTTACCAGAATATGATGGAAACCATGCCGAATATCAAACTTGCTAAAATAATTAGCGCATCCAATTGCATCCAACAGATCATCAATCCGGGGGAGTGGATACACATCTTTGATCGTGATTTCATTCAGCTTGCGATAATCAATGCAAATGCGAATCGCTTCATTCTTCTTCGGTACTAACACTACGGGAAAGGACCAAGGTCCGGTAGCGGGTTCAATCCAGCCGCTGGCTTCGAACTCCCGAATTCGTTCGAGAGCCTTTTTGCGTTCAATCAAGGAATAGCGATAAGGTTTGGAATAAATCGGGGTGTGATTTCCTGTCTGAATTTCATGTTGGATTACTAACGACAACCCAATGTCAGCGTCTGATACACTAATCGCTCCTTGATATTCCGTTAGAATATCCGCAATCAACCGGTGGATTTCATCCGGCACATATTGTGGAACGTGCAGTTCAAAAAGTTGGTCCCAGATCCGAACGTCAATCTGTTTCGTGTTCGCCTGTTTTGTCAAGTCGGGTGGAGGAGCTGAGATGAATGAATGATCCGATCGCCAGGAGAACACCGTGGTCATCATCTGAGCATCTTCTTCTCGGATTGCCACGTGTCCTTCCGGGGTAATCCCGTCGCAGACATCCTACCATGGCACTTCCTTAGTTGCAATCTTTATCCCCAGTCCGTCTGTTTCTGCTTCAAAACGCCCAGGGGGTTCCAGAGAGCTTGCTTCCGCCCCCAAGCGTAACAATCTCACTTCCTTAGCCGATGTTAGTAAAGACTTAGGTAGTTCCGTAATGTCGCAATAATGTTTTTTGTCGCTATACATGGCGAGGAGAGGGGTGATCCCTTCGTACAGAGTTTGAGGGGGTTCCAAAGAGTCGACCATCCTTGAAATCTTCACGAGGGGCTCTCCCAAGATCATCGCCTTGGTCCTTTGAATTTTTCGGCTGGTCAGTTGCATCGTTCTCGCTATCGTTTTGGGTGGCGGGTAGTAAACGCGTTGTCGTACCAATTTCAAGATCTCCGGATCATCTTCGTCACTGCTTTCCGCATCATCAGTTGATGGCTTCCCTTCTGCGGGTTTGTCCCAGGAGATCATGCGGAGAGTCCCTGCCATCATCGGCGAAACCCGGAGAACCACGTTAATAGTAGTGCGAAGGGTCAATCGCATGCGCACAGTGTAGGGCTTTCCTCCTGTATTTCGGAGGACGATCGATCGTCCTTCGAAATCCAGGTTTGCTCGTAATGCCACAAGAGCGGGAAGTCCGGAGAGAACGTCGTACGTATTAACATCTAGTACTACTACATCCCCAAGCGCGTGTACTTTTCCTAATCGGAAGGCGACGTTGGTCATTCTCCCCACAGTTTTAATCTTTTCCTCATCTGCCGAAACGAGCTGATCTTTCTCGGTGAGCATGATCAGATCGTTTTTTCTGCCTGCCCTTTCGACCACTCTCAGTGAAATAGCTAACACAGCTCCTCCTGAGTCTATAATGGCGTTGTAAGGAATTCCCCAAATTTCTGTATCGCACTCTGCGGATTTCCACGGAATGGGTTTAATCCGCAAGAAATGATCGTCTTTCTGAATTAATCCTACCCGTATCGGATCCGGAGTGCCTGTTGGTTTTTTTTCCGGCGCGGGGCCTTTGGTTTTTGTATTCGGTGTTCGGGCGAGGGCGAATCGCTTTCGATTCGCTTTGCAATGCTGCAACATTTGCTCGTTGGCTTGCTCAGAGATCGAGAGTAGATGACCGACCGGAAGGGGAATCTGATGGTCCAAAGCTCGGATGATGTTTAATACATCGATTTCTCCTGTGACGAAGGTGGGTCCTCCCGACTCCATTTCTCCTAGGGACGGTCGCCACTCCGCCACCTCTTTTGGTTCTCACGCTGGTCTGATTGTCCCGATCATTCCAAGCCCAGAATATCCCAGCGATACGTACTGATCTAGCGGGATTAGTTCGATGGCCTCTTGCGAGGTAGCCAAGACACTTCCCCCACCCTCTACTTCTTCCATCAAGTCTCCGACTCGTCCAGGTCCGTTAGGGATGGGAGCCGCGGCCATGGGTGCGGCTCCGGTCCGCGGTTGTGGAGGTCGGTGGGGGCAATCACGGGCTAGATGGCCTGGTTGATGACAGGCGTAACAGACATTCAGATTGTTTGCAACTCCTCCGAGCGCAGGGGCCGGGGCTAATCCTTGCTGCATCGGAGGGGCACGCACTGCAATGGGTCGCATGTTCCTCATCATGGCTTCTAGCCGAGCATTGTGCTCTCGCTGCTCCTTTTTGCTTTCTTGGATCAGACTAATCAAGGTTTTGGTTAGTTCGAAAATGGCCGCCGATTCGTTTGATCGTACAGGCGCCTCAACCGGTGGCGGGGGTAATGCCTTGACGGGCGGGGGCATCATAGGAGCAGAGATGCTCGGAGTCTCACTTAGGATTACTCGTTTGGGGCCTATCTGTTCCATATAGGTGACAGGTCCTGATACGAACCCCATGTTTTCAAATTTGTTCTGTAAAGCTGCCAGCTCTGCTCTGGCTCAAGCGAGCTCGGTCGAATCTCCGTCTCTTGGGTAATCTTCTCCTTCTAGGAAGTTCGCCGCAAACTTCCGTTCCATTTCTTCCGAAGCAACCATAATTTGTTGAAGCGTATGAGGAATGGGGGAAAATTGCTTTCGCAACTTTGCCCTTATCGTTCGACTGCGGAGTCCGTCAATGAACAAATCTCTCCGGACTTGCTCACCTCGCTCAGTTTTTACGAACATTCTGTAGAACCGGTGTCGATATTCCGCAACGGATTCGAGCGGTTTTTGCACTCGATCCTTGATCATGTAGAGCGCTTGCTCGGGGTGGACATAATCAAATCAGTTCATAAAGTCTCGTACGAAGGTCGGGAGATCCACCCACACATAGGTACTATACCAGTGATGAGCGTCTCCTCCCATTTGAGCCGGAATGTTGATCTGTGCTTCGTGATCGTCGTACTGTTGTGCTTTAAGCGTGGCCAACCATGCTCCTGCGAGATGGTGCGCTGGATCAAACAGATAGAGATCTGGTGGCAACATAGGAGCTCCTGCACGTGGGGCAGGTTGATTAGGTAGATTAGCATTTTGTTGCGGAACCGGATTTTGCACATTGGCAGCCATATTGGCTGCTCGTCGGTTAGCCGATCTGCTTCTGGTGACGATAGGGTCGCGTCTATGCGCGTTTCGAGGGCGAGGTCGCCCACGGTTAGCCAGGTCGCCTAGTTAACGTGCTATTAATCCTGAGACCCTTGCCACGTGTGGGGCTCCGATACCAACCTCACGCCCAGTGCGACTTCCTGATCGGGGTGAAGTGTGGGCTTGGAAGTGCGAAAAGGGGTGTGCCAAGGATTTTGGGGGGAAGTGGGGGAGTCTTAAGGATATGAATGCAATTAGGTGAGCGAGAGGTGAGTACGCAAGGGTCTCACAGTCCCGAGGGACCGGGACACTGTGGACGACGGTTTACGGGAAAATTCCTCCGTGGTTGAGGTGGTCCCGGAAAGTTAGGCCGTCGGGGGCCGCCACGTGGCGCAGACCGCCGCGCATTTGGCTTGGGCCTTCGAAATTCCGGAGTGCTCGGCGCGCCGCTGCGTCGATAGTTCACGCAAAATGTATTGGGCCGATAGGGGGCTATGGCCGGCCACGAAAGACACTGAGTTGATGATACGGGAGAAGGAGGCGGAAAGGAGGGAAACAGGTGGTGATCTCAACGAATTCTGGGTGGGTGAAGTAGTAGGTGTGGTCGAGAGAAGGAAAATCGGAGCACCGAGGGTCGCTAGTGGTGGCACAGTGGAATTCCCGCGGACATAGTCGATTCTCCGTGTGACAGGGGTATCGTGTCCTTACGAGCTCGTTTATTATAGAGGTGAAATAGTCCGGGTCATAGGATGAGTCTGAGCCCCAGGATCGCATCATGGTGTCATCATCGGTGGGATAGCGCGGGTCGGGATATCGTCACCGCGCATGAGCACGTGTCGGATGGGCAAACTTAGTTGCGCCTCGGCGTGCCCGTGCGGGATGGTGGTTCCGCCGCGAGTCCTGTCTGGGCG